CGAAACAGTTGAAGTACTATTTTTCATTAACAACATATAGAAATTAGGTACATCTATGGTAGACTGGCGTTAGATTTTGCTTGTGATAGCAAATTCCACATGGCTGGTGAAAACTATGGAACAGGACTGTACGTATGAACATCTCCGGTTAGGAAACCACCAATGTTATAATGTTCAGTAATAACGGAAGTTGAATATCATTATGCCCGATTAACGTTGCATTTTGCATAGGTGGCACTCGAACAGCAGGGCGCTCTGGATTGTGTTGTCTTAAAGGCCATGTAGTCTGTTTCAATAGATGACGTATCACCACGATGTTGCGGCGACCAAGGCTGACATTTCGAGAGCAGGTCTTGTTGATGACGATAGATGAATAAATTCTGTTCTATTCTAGCCGCCTAAGGTGAGCCAGGTGAGCTAGCTGAAGCCATCATAGAAATTGTCGCACGCAGGGATGCGTGCTTGGTCTGTGTACAGCATGTGAGCTGTTCATTAACTGCAAGTGGCAATACTCTATCCTCTAGGTTCAAAGAAGGGAGAGGAGGGCATGCTCGCAGATATTCACATTAAAGCAAAGAACTCAGGAGGACTCTCACAGAGGCGTCCATTGACATCTTGTTCTACGCTGTATGTCTGACCAAGAAGTCAATTCTAAATGGAAATTAGATAAACTGAGCAGCATTTGAAGGCCAAAAGGCCAGACAACGTACTGACAACATCACCCCATTATTGCAGATGAGCTATCCAACTTTTTCTTGCCCCCAAGTCTGATAGGTCAACACGTTTGATTCCTTACCTCAAGACTGTTTGTTTATAGGAATATAACACCTAAGTCTAGGCTATTCAACTGGGATCAGACTTCACCGTAGAGATACTTTCTTAACGAATCTGGATTTGGAATATGCAGGGATTTTGGTACCCGTTAGGGAAGGTGTAGAATATTTTTCAGATTCATATTTAAGGGACAGCTCTTCCAGTACAATGCTGTATCGTTTAGGGTAAATTATACCCCTTATGTGTTCACAAAGTTAATAAAACCATATATGGAATACCTTAAGAAAAAATTGGGTACTTTCAGGCTCAGTATTAAATTGTGACAGAAAGAAAGTAACTTTACTTAAGCGGACGAGGCAGACATTACTAAACCTAGTAAGGGCAATAATGGACAGTAACCACGACAGTGTCAGAAACTTCGCGGTGAACATCGGGATCTTGGTTACAGCCGACTATACACTAACGAGTGAAATTTCTTGCCTTGTAAAATTCTCAACGAGATTTTAACGCTACTATGCCACTAACATAATATAACTTAACGCCTACTACGGCTGGGGCTCAAACAAACTGGCAGATGTATTGAATTATCCAGTTTTTTGTTGTATAATTTCTCGGACTGGGACATTCGTTGGCCAGGGAGGAGTCTCTAGCTTTTGGTCACCCGAGAAGGTTCCGCATGCTAATCATCAAGAACAACTGGTAGTTTTCTTCTGTGGTGAATGCTTAGCGATCGAATTGATGGGCTGTCACATATTATACCCCATCCTACATCAATAGATTGGAGAGCTTCTGGTTTCCACGTCTGGACCAGGTTGCGGGAAAACTACGACAATTGTATAAAGAGAGAAATCTTACTGCCCTCGCGTCAAATATAAAATCTAATAGTAATACTGGTACAGATGAGCTTTTGCGTCAGTGGGACGTGGAAACGGAGTGGGAGTTGCAACTGTCACCGCCCTGATTTTGGCTCAAGTATTCGGTGTTTCTGAAATTTCACTTCTAGAAGTAACGCAAGGCTCTGATGGAGGGACCCCAGGACGCTGCTCCCACTAATTCATAAGCTTACCCTGGTTATCGTCACTGGAAAGCTGTCATTCCAATCAACATCGATAATCCATCAAGTATTGTGGGCTTAGATTACGGTAGGGCGTTTGAAATTTCTTACCTTACAGGTGATAAGAGATCAATATATAATTGTTTGCGCTAGGAGTCTTTTACCCAAAATGTTACTAACGATGCAGACATAAGATGGTTTTTTAAAGGCATTTACAGGCTGAGGCGATCTCAACTGAAATATAGATACTATGGCTGTTCTCAACCAACCAAAGGGGTTACTGGCAAGCTCTGTAGATATTTGGATGAGAAAATCAGCAAGACTGCTAGTTCTAACCTCAGGTCAGAGTGTGCAAACTAATTGAAACAGACAACATCTGGATTGGGTTGAATAATACTGAAATTGGGATTTCTGAGTTTTCAGAAGTCTCGGGGTCACTTATGTAGCAACCACTTAAGTTTTACCGTATTTTACGCCATATCTATGCAAAGCATTTATTTGTCACTGGTGCCTCGGCTCCCACATGGATGAAGTCGGTTTTAGCAGAGAGTGTCACAATTGACAACCTCTGCGCTGGCTAAATTATAGTACCTAGTCTCAGGCTCGCGGCGGGCTGGAGTGCGTTTTCTGAGATACGTCACAAATCTCTTATGCCAAACAATAGCTTTGCTCAAGCGTCATTTGAGGTGAACCAAGTCTCCACACTTTAAACATAACTATGTTATTACGTTATTTGCTCATTACCATGAAATGAATGAGTGATTTTTGAACCAGGTACGTCATATCACCTGTTGCTAAAAGCCTTAACTTGAAATGTTACAATGGAAATCTACATTCAGTTGAGACATACATTGCGTACGATTTGTGTAGTTGTGTACAACCTATGGTTTACTACTAGAAAGCGTTAGTAATATGTTGTAGCAACTAGCTTTGAACATCTACGATACGTATTCTAAATATTTACTTCGACGAGGACGGAACATAATTACATGATCAAACGAACTTACCTGTAAGTAATGTTCGATCTTAAATATGTGAAGTCCTCGTCAAAGTATATAGCTCCCTCGCTCCCAATTGTTGCAACGACTTGGCGTTGAAGTAAATGAAGGTTTATTGGCGGCCAGAGGGGAGAAAGGTAGGGGGACGGGGCTCGGTGCCGTTTTCCTTCTCTGCGTGCGCGCTTTGAAATCGTGGCGGTTGGGTACTACTACGACGTTACTACGATACGTATTCTAAATATTTACTTCGACGAGGACTTCACATAATTAAAATCGAACATCACTTACAGGTAAGTTCGTTTGATCACGTAATTATAGACATGCACAGTAATAGTATAATAATGGGTACATAATTATTTAGGCGGTTATTCTTTTTGCTTTATATGGGTACGTGTTCTGCAATTTTGAATATACTGAAGAAAGAATGTGAAGCGAAAAGATTGTATAGTGGGTTGATAGTATAACTGGCATTTCGCTTATGTTTTTGGAAAAAAGCATACCTGATTGCTATTACTTTTCATTAAACTTTGCTTTTAAAGTTATCCTTCATCTATAGTTTATTGCCAAAACTGCTGACACCAATGGAATGCGAGGAATATTGCCGACTTCCTTGTAGAGAGACCGCCCACAGTGGCGCGATGATTTCTACTTCGGAAGGGGTTAAAAAGTAGAATTTACCTCAACATTTTGCAACACATTAAACAGAAATAACTAAAGCAGTGACCTGTCACTGATTAACATTAGAAAAAATGGATTAATTTGCACGAGGAGGTGGCTGCATATCGAGTCCTGGCCCTCCTTCCACCCGTCTTTCAGTTTCAATAAAATGAAAAATACAGATTACAAAAAAAAGTTTAGAAACTGTAAGACACGCAAAAATTAAACAATAAATTGTGATTATCAAAAATTAAAAAAAAATATAAAACGACTATGAATAATATATATCGGAAAAAGAAGCAAATATAACTAATTAAGTAAATAAATATTCGTTTGTACAAATGGTAGTTGGTTACTGTGTTACGTGTTTATATAATCTTCGCGTACATTAAATTTTTAATGCACCACCTAACTTACTTCACTCTCTTGTCTGTATTGTTCAATAATTTCAAATATACTGAAAAAAAAATTTAAATGGAAAAATTATAGATACCATAGCTTTTCCACCTATCTTTGCAAAAAATGATTGCTAGTGTTTATCATAGTTTCTCATTAGACTTTGTTTCCAAACTTATTTTTCTTCTAGCATTTATATTGTAATTGATATCTAAGTTGATCATATCTCCTTATACGGCTTATTTTTTCATTGTCATCTGAAAAAAAAAATGGAAATGGAAATGTAGCTTTTTTTGTTAAGAAAGCTTTTTATAATATTGTAGAAATATTAAATATCTATATTAATAAAAACATATTCATAGCCGATATCATTGAAACGTAAAACTAAAATCTTGAGGAGAATGTAATTGAAAAATGTTTTGTATCAGAGTTACTTACATGAAACCTCTTGTCTGTCGTTTATTTCATTATGATTCTCGTTTTCCGTATATGGTTTTTTGTTCTATAATTTCAAATATACTGAAAAAAGAATCTGAAAATGGAAAGATTACAGATTGTGCTTGTATGGTTTTCGGTAAACTTTGCCTTTAAGTTATTCTTTCTTTAGCATTTATATTGTAATTTATAATTAGGTCGATCAAACCCCTTTTTCATATGATTTAATTTTACATCATGGCATCTAAAAAAATGGCAGTGCAGCATTTTTTGTTAGAATTTCAGATTATTAGAAATATTAAATATCTGTGTTTGTGAAAAATATAGTTGATGCCAGTGAAACGTACATGAGTATTTTCAGAACAATATGTTTGTATTGAAAAAACTTATGTGAGACCTTTCAAGCATTAGTATGCATTCTGTAATTCTATAAACATATGGTCTGCTATAATAATGGGTACACACCATTTAAGTGGATTTTCTCTTTTTTATATGTGTTTTGTTCTGTAATTTTAAATATACCTTCCAAATATGAGCTTTTCGTAATTTTGATATAATAATGGGTAGGTACATTATTTAAGTGGGGTTTCTCTTTTTCTTATATTGTTTTTGGTTTAGTATTTTAAATAAACTGAAATATAAACCTAAAAATGGTAAGATTGTTGATGGTGTAATCTGCATTTTGTATTGAAAAGTTGCTTAGACTATCCATCTGTTGTTGCAAACCATTGATCCTTCTTTCAGCATTAATATTGTAGTTTGTAGCTTGTAGGTACATCGTTTATGTTGCTTGCATAGTTTATTTTTTCATCGATTCATCTAAAAAACGTAAATGGACAAACAACATTTTTGTCGACCAAGCTGTTTAAATTTTATAAACATATGGTTTTTCGTGGAAAAGTCGCGACTGATATGATTGAAATTTACAATAAGATGTCCAGAACAATATTTGTGAAAAAATCTTTTGTATAACTTACTCAAAAGTCCTTGTTTGACCCATTAGTATCGTGGTAAGTATGAATACATAGAGTAGCATATGGCAACATGATTTTGCTTGGGAAATTATGGTTCTTCCACTGCAATTTATGTTGTAATTTATAGTTAGATCAACCTTCTCTATTTCCTTATGTTATTTGGTTTTGTAGCGCTTGAGTACGAAGGTCTTCGAAATGTATCTACATTCCATATTGTGCAATATTTGTCTAAGAAAAAAATTCTTGCTATTTTTCGGATTTATAAACGACAATCTACTAATGATTTTTATTAATTAATTTTACTGGGTTATGCTACTTTTTAATAGCTTATTATATACTATGTTAACTGTGTAAGATTGATCATTTGGAGTTTCAGCTAAATATTGACGGTCATCTATATTTGTCAGTTGAATCTTCAGGTTGTCAAAACTTCTTGCCCTTGAAACATACAGTTGTCCGTGATCAAATACTGTTACTGGTAAAAATAAGCCGATACTGCTCGAAGTTTGACCTTGGCTTTTGTTAATTGTCATTGCAAAAGCCACATCTACAGGGAATTGTCTCCTTTTCAAGTTGACTGGCAAATCAAGAGAATTTAGAGCGATATTGTCAACTCTGGAAATTAATTCGATCGAAGGTTCATTATTAGAGTCTTCTGCTCGTTTTGCTTCAATAAAATGTTCGTGCCAATTATGAATCAATAAGCGTGTGCCGTTACATAAACCTCTCTTCGCATCTAAATTCTTCGTTAGAATAACTGCACCAATCTTTAGTGTAAGTGGGGAGGAAGTCCTGGAGCATCCAAAGAATTTAAAAAATCTTGCGGCCAGGCAGACTCTAAATCATCAACAGCATTTTCAGTTGTATCGTCTTCTCGGATGATACTATCAACACTTAGATATGGCAGTTTTTTTAAAACACTAGTCAATTGATATCCTTCACATGAATGTTTAATGGAGACAAACTTTTTGTAATAGTGTGAAATCGTGCTCAATTAAATTACTACCGTAAATGCTTTCAATAATATTTTCTACAATGATATGGTTAGGAACTTTGACTATAGTATCTTTGCCATTTTCTAAGCGACGTAAGATTTCGGAATTACCTATTTCCTATGGTCATGAGCCAATCTTTGAATTCGTTTTCCTGAGACAATGCTCTAACGTTCATAACAAGATCATACTGAATGCAGTATTGCCATAGTTGGGAACATTTCACTGATTTTTGCCGGCCAACGAAACGATAGGTGCGAATCGCCTGAAATCGCCTAGAATTATAATGATCTTGCCGCCAAATGGAATGTCATTGTTCATTATTTTTCTCATCTTCCTATCTATCTTATGAAATATACTTTTATGTACCATAGATATTTCATCAATGACAATAATTTTTTAATATCTAATATTATCAGCAATCGTACTCTGATTGCGAATCTTTGACGTTGAATTTCTAGCAAATGGAACCGGTAACATAAAGGAAGAATGAATCGTTTGGCCATTTTCCAATAAGCTGGCTGCGATACCTGTATAATACATAGCAATGTGACGGTGATTATTTCCTAGTGAGTAAGCCAGTAGTGTATTCAATAGACATTTTTTCCTGCACCTCCTACTCCGTTAATAAAAAATAGACGATATTGAACTCTTTCATTTTCGTTTACAGCTAAAAGTATATCGGTAAAAATACGTCATTGCCCTTGATTCAACCGAAGAATGTTCCTATTAGCAATTTATTGTTCTTCTGCTTGCTCATAATCGTATTCATCTTCTATTAGGTGTTCTACTGGGAAATTGCTTATCATATTAACAGAGTTTGAATATAATTTTGCATAGGTATAAAATTGATTGGAACACAGATGATTATGTTGTGTTAAATTGATAGTGATAAAGATTGAAATACTGAATTCATATTACATCACAGTAGTTACATATAAATTGTTATAAGGTGCCTGTACGTAAGCGTATTGTCTAGTTTCTTCATCTTTTGTATTTAAGGCGACCCATCCTGTTAACGAACTGTGTTGTGTTGTAATAGACTTGTTGCATATTAGGGAAGATGTACAGAAAGCTTGATAATAGTGTGACGATAACAAATGGTACTGTTGGCGCCATCTGTTGGAAGAGTATCCTACCCGCCAGAACTTCATGGCCGATCTATGCTTATACGCGGGTCACGTCCGCACAAGCCGCTTGGTGGCGTCTGTGAAGACCGTGGCAGTGACTCGCCTTCTAGATCGACGCGGAGTGACCTCAAATATTCTGGAAGGCCGCTATGTGGCTCCAGATTCTTCTCGACTCAACGATGCGGAGTATATAACTCGGCGGCCGGGAGATGGAAGCCGAGTACAGAGTACGGTAGAGTAGAGCGGAGTGGAGTCAATGCCGCGACATAAGAATTAGTCAGACATAAATAGTGGTGTACATAAATGTTCTATCTAGTCAAGATAAATAAATTAGTGCATTTCTTTTTGTGGAATCCAGTGTTTTAATCCACACCCAAAAGAACCCAGAAAAACGCTACATTGGTGTCAGGTGTGGGGTGTGGATTATTGGACATTTAGTGAAAATACCTAGAGGAAAAGCTCATGGAAAAGTGTGCCGATCTTTTAGAAAAGTTAACCAAGCTGGAAAATAGGCTCGTGGACAATAATGCCAACCTAGAAGGAAAACTCTTGGAGTTACACGAATGTACAGCCAAATTAGAAGAGAAGTTTTTGGAAAATACTGCCAATCTAAAAAAAGAATTGGAAGATAAAATTATGGAAAAATTATGCGAATTGGAAATACGGATTTTTACTTTGGAGGACAGAATTCAAGAAGTGCAAGGCAATTTCGCCGCTTTAGACATCAAGACCATCGACGAACGACAGCGTGGACTTCTGTTGGAAAAATCAAGTGAATTTGGAGCTTCTGTTGGGTCAGCTGGTCATCTGTGGATGAAACCGCCGCAATTTGATGGTACAATGCCTTGGAATATCTACCGACGTCAGTTTGAGGCAGCAGCGAATTCAAATGGTTGGTCATCGACCGAAAAGGCAACTGCACTTTGGCCCTACGAAAAGATGCTGGTTCTATTCTTCAAAGAATATCACCCGAAGAACAAGGGACTACTAGTAGGACATTTGGAGATGCGATATGGCCAGTTACATTTAGAACATGTCTACAATACACAACTAAAGAATCGGTTCCAGAGGTGAGGCGAGTCCTTGCAGGAGTTCGAAGCGGATATTGCGCGGTTGGCACGATGAGCATATCAGGAAAGGATAATGGAGGGATTGGCAGTTCAAGCATTCCTGGATGGACTTCGTGATGGTGAAATGAGGCAAGCCTTACTACTACCACATATACCTAAGCTAGTATGTGCGCTAACTTGGGCCTTACAATTCGAAGCCGCTAATAACACAAATAAAAGCCGCGTCCGAGTCCGCCAGATGGTACCAGGATATAATGAGTTTGAAAGGTCCGTCAAGCGCATTTTTAAGGAACTTGGTGATGAACGTCGCCGCCAGAACAGCAAGTTGGAATGATGAAAATGTGGAAAAGTAGGGCACGTTAGGAGACGCTGTTTAGAGGATGATAAGCATTGCCAGCGGGCAGAGGAGGAAGATGCTCAAGTATTAAGAACCACTATTGTTAGTGATACTTGGCAAAATGAAGACATCATTAAAGACCAGGAGGGCGATCCTGATCACCGAATAACTCTGAACTGGATGAAAGAACAGCGGAAACCAGCCTGTGAGGAAGTTGCCAAGTATTCCCATACCATAAAATCATATTGGGCACAATGGAATTCCCTAGTTATGCTCTTACTGCGTAAATTGGTGGACCACGACTGCAAAGAGGAAAGAAGACAAATCGTTATCCCCAGATGTCGGATCCCGGAGATGCTAGAAGAAATCCATTCCGGTGTGTCAGGAGGTCATCTCGGAGTTACAAAAACCCTGGGAAAGGTGAGGGAAAGATTTTACTGGGTCAATATGAAGGAGGGCGTAAAAGACTGGTGCAGAAAATGCGTTGTGTGTGCGGCAAGTAATGGTTCGCAAAGGAAACCAAAAGCTTCGATGCGCAAATACAACGTGGGTAGCTCCTTTGAAAGGATTGCTATTGATGTAGCGGGACCCTTCTCAGAAAGTGAATCAGGAAATAAATACATCGTTGTGGTAATGGATTACTTCAGCAAGTGGGTTGAGGCATACACTCTGCCAAATCAGTAAGCCTCTACGGTAGGCGATGCTTTAGTAAATTAAGAAGACCAGGACTACTGCCTTACACCCGCAGTCAGATCAATGAGACTGGGATAGTTTTCTTCACCTCTTCTTATTGGCTTACCGATCGTCTATTCATGAAAACTCAGAAGCTCGAATAGTTATGAGAAGAGAACTTCGTCATCCATGCGATCTAAAGCTTGGCTGTCCACCAGGAACTGATATTGCTGGAGAAGACTACGTAAGTGAGCTGCGTAGAAGAATGGACGCCATCCAAAGCCAGGTTCGTGTTTCAATTTAAGTGAAGGAAGCTTATGATGTTAATGCCAAAGACCAGAGGTATGACAACGGTGATACGGGTTGGCTTCACGATCCAAGTGCTTGCGTACGTGCGTGCGCACGTGAATGCGTGCGTACATGCACATGTCGTAAATGACGTATGTCACGCACGTGACGTATGTCACATGACGTCACACACGTGACATAAATGACGTATGTCATGCACGTGACATAAATGATATATGACGTCACATCACATAAAAGAGAGATGGTGAATGAATAAAAGAAAAAGCAGAGTTATAAATTGTTTATTTAATATAACACTTCATACATGTATCACAATTTAATTTATGCGTCTTGTATGGCCCATCAATGGCGTTTGAAGGAGTATGGACATCCCAGCAGGGTTCTAGTAGCTTATCTAATAATGCTGATGGAATATTTATACCCATAGTTGTACACGCATGTTTAATAAATATTCGTTTGAAATAATAATCGTCAAAATACTTCATCCAGCTGTTTACGAAGAACAAATGCCATTTCTTCTGCTTTGTTGGTATAAACAAACTTGAAGTTTGACGGTCAGCAGCGATACACAAACAGCTATGTAATAAAACATATATGTCGGTAGTTTATCTACATATTCTTCGTCACATAAATGAGAAAATGGGTGAAATGAATAAAAGAAATAGCAGAGTTATAAATTATTTATTTAATATAAGACTTCATACATGTATTACAATCTAATTTACGCGTCTTGTATGGACCATCAATGACGTCACAACCGTTGTCGTTTGAAGGAGTATGGACATCCCAGCAGGGCTCTAGTAGCTCAGCTAATAATGCTGATGGAATATTTATACCCATAGTTGCACACGCATGTTTAATAAATATTCGTTTGAAATGATAATCGTCAATATACTTGGATGCATAACGAAGATCATCCAGCTGTTTACGAAGAACAAATGCCATTTCTTCTACTTTGCAAGTATAAACAAACTTGAAGTTTGACGGTCGGCAGCGATACACAAACAGCTATGTAATAAACCATATATGTCGGTAGTTTATCTGCATATTCTTTAGGTACTACATACACTGTAACTTCAAATGCCTCAACATCATTAGTAAGCATAGTAGCAGTCATGTGCTGGCATCTTGAAGGCCAACTTTCGTTTTTGGAGTTATTTTCAATGAAACAAATGTATATTTCATCCACTCTTAATGGATGTTGAATGTAAAAAACACCGTTCAGCAAAGCACATAATACAATATAATTAGGTGTTAATGTAATCATGATTAACGATTAACTAACACTTAGGCATGTAATCATCCCATTTTATAAAAAATAACACTAATATAAGTCTAATACATTTTTTATTGATATATGTAATTACAATATATTTGTTACACGTATTCTTCATGATGATTTACAATTCAAACGTTGAAATCTTGCATAATTGTGAAACACATTTCGCCTCCATTTAGCCTCATCGTAGTCGTCGTCGTCGTGAATGGATAGTCGTTATAGTTTTTCAAGTGTTTCCTTGTATCTCCATATTGACGAATTTGCTGTTTAATCACTTGAATATTTTTATTGTGTTGTTTCAGAAGCTCTTGCTGCTGCATGTTTGAATCTATGAGTGAATTACATAGGTAGACATTTATATACCCAGTCTTTGATTTTAAGACAGTTATTCAGAACACATATCCCATATACGCAATTATGATTTAAACAGAGTGGTATACATTTCTCAATTTTCCCACATTTTGTGGTGAACCGTGAATCACAATCTTCAACATTGATGATATGGGGCTTAGTAATTTGCATATCATTTAATCTATCAATTAAAAATTGACGTTTGCCCTGTCCTTTCACGTATACCATATCCACATCAGCTAAATGGCTCCTGAGGATTTCATCAAGTAAACTATAATCCACGTAGCCCTTCTCATATCTTAGTCCATTTTACCGTTCAGTATACTGTACCGTAACTTTATCTTTAGAGGTTAATGTACTATATTTATTGATAGACTTGAATAAGAAATAATTGCTTTGACTTCCAACCAGTATCGGCATTTCTTTAACCACAAAGCCATAATTCTGAATATAAAATCCTTGCAGATCAATAAAGCATATTGTAGCCATTGTGTGTGTGTGTGTTACCTATTCAATAAACTACAAGTAAATGATTGACAAAAATAAAAACGGATGATTTTACATATATTGTTTAATTATCTCGGAGAGGGGATGTAGTTCCATTACACAATCATGTATGATAATACAGTAAACACGTGTATTGGTGGGGAATCCTTTTGCTGATTCAATGTCTAATTTCACATCTACGGTTGTCAATTTTATTGATTCACTACGTTTAGAGCAGTCAATAATAAAAATAGCACGATTTTTAAATGATGGATAGTCAAGTAGTGCAGGCTTGAATGAGGTATTTTTATAACTCTGATAAAAACCTATATAATTCATGTGAGCGTCCACATAACCGTTTCTATCAAAGTCAAATCTGAAACGCTCATGGGGATAGTATTCCCCATTGATGAGCAGTCGAACGTCTGTTAAATCAATATGATCAAAGTTAAATCCTGATTAACTTTATCGAATTTATCTGTTTGAAAGGCCGCTATTAGATGTCGTGGACACTCTATAGCAGCACACGTCTGTAGCTGCCATATTTCACGTTTAGCGTTAACTGTTAGAGCTGTAAGTTTATGTAAAGACCACTTCCTGTATGGTACATACACCGGTTTATCGTTTTTAATATTTTCTAGTAGATTCGCTTTAATTACATCATTAGGGTAAATATGTTTTACTAGCAGTTTGAGCTCCTCAATTTCAAGTTTGGCTTGTGTAGTACCGGCGGCGGCGCCAGCAGCTTCAGTAATAATCATACAGTTATTATCATTACGTGCTCTCACTAGACGTATAGTATGTTTCCCATATGCAGCTAATTTATAGTCATTGAAATAATTCAGTAAGTGTTTAAGTGGAACACATACGCGTAAAATATCCAGTGGTAGCATCACGAATAGGTACAGAAGGATAGTTCCATCCTGTTGCGGTTAAATGTCTTGAATCGTTAATACTGTAATATAAGTATCCTCGAACTGTGCTTACAATACCCGGATTTCGAACGGTGTCTAATATGGAACCATTAAGCTCATATGTACACGAGTCAAAGGAAAACGATGCAGCATTGTTCACAAAGGAAACTGTTCCAGCGCCGGCAGTTTTTATTAATTTCCCCTTAATTACAATAGCGGCACATACATCAAAAGCCATGCATCACTCTGATTAATAGTAATGGTGATTTCATCGTTATTGAGAAAAGACGGTATATATAGTCTATATGTGAACTCTTTAACACCTTGGATTATAACGTATCATCAAATATCGGTTTTTCGTAAACGTCGAACACTGGACTTGACAACATCGTAATTGAGTGACTGTAAAAATAATCGGTTGGCTATAGTAAGTGTGGAATGCAGCAGCAGCACGTCAGCACTCTTGAATGACCACTACCAACTGATAGAGGATTAACTGGAATGGAATGGAATTTGTGTTTTTTTCGAGGGGGGGAATCACCAAAACCATTATAATTTTTTCAACTCCAAACGTACGATGATTTCTTCTCCTCTAAAGTTCACTAATTCAGAATTTTGATCGAGCACCAGCAAAGTAATGTTGTTTATTTCACGTT